GATAAAGTTGTGAATGGATAGGAGAGGAATCTCCAGTTGCTAAAGTTGATTTAATAATAAAAATAGTTAATTTAGTCTGGTAGTTAGAGTTATGCGAGTGGGTGAAAAGTGAAGTTATGTAGAAGTGTGTAATAAATGATTGGGTGATATTAATTTAAAATTTACTTTATCCGGTTTGTGGGGAAAAAATTGGGAGAGAATAGTATAATATTTAAACCATCTTTTATAATTCTTTAAGTTTCTCAAGTTTAAAAATCTCTAAATCTGATTATTTCCAGTCACATGCTTAAACTGCAAAGGTTTTATATAGCGGAGTTATATTTAAATTTATTAAAGTAGTAGTTTTGATGCGTTTTTGGGTTGACATTTGAACTCAGCTTACCTTGACTATAATTTAATAAGTCGCTGGATTTTATTCATCATCAACATCAACATACCCAGTATATTCCCAGCAGGTTGGGGCAGGTTGGGGTCTGGGGGTCAGTTGTACGCAGACCTTACCCTTGTAATTATACAAAGTCGCTGGATTTTATTGTTTTGTGGAAATTATTTCTCACAATTTATTATTTATATATATATATATTCTATATTTTCACTTTTTTTTTTTCTTAATTTTTTCTCCTTTTGTCTTATTTATTATGAAGGGCTATGGAAACTGTTATCAAAGAACATAATCTCGACATTGAAAGTCTAATGTCTTCGCGTCTTCCTGTAGCATCTGGGACTCAAATTGGAGATTCTGCATCATCACAATTAGGCGGTAATTATTATTTAATTTTCGCTCACACTGTCACTGATAAAAGGACATACCTAGAGACATCAAAAGGGCGAATTGGTATGGCGGTTTCTGAACATTGTTAAGCGTTAGTGGTAGTGAAATGTATGATTGCTTTAATGTTACTACAGGGACGTCTCAGCAGGCAGGGGCTGCCAAGGACTCTAAACCAAGCTTTCAAGGCAATGAGATGGGCACATCTGGCCCATCAAGTGGTGGATCTGACTTATATCAAGGTTCTGCAGCCAATCCACATGGTAATTTCTATTTTTATTTTTATTTTTTTTCTAGATCCCTAGGTTTTGGTTTTAAATCTACTACTTTTTGTTTATAGTAATGCGAAATGAAAATATCCTGATTCGACTTAAAGATAGATTTTGTTGTGATTGGGGTTAACATATCAATTTTGAGCAAATTAATGTGTGAGATACTGGTTTTAGTCATGTGAAATGAAAATATCACGATTCGGCTTAAAGATAGATTTTGTTATGATTGGCGTATCAGAGTCAAAGAGTAGATCGATTTCTCACAAGATCATGATCTTGCATTGGTCACTTGTGTTGTTCGAAGAATATGCTTTCCTATTCCAACTGCAATTTGGTATGACCTTGTAGAAGCGGTTTCGTGTCAGTGAGTCCACTTTTTCATGTTGGATACTGTAGAAATAGAATAGCATGACAGTCATTCATAAGAGTGTATTGGTGCGAATCTTTTTTATGCACCAGATTTTTTCGGATGAATCTTATCTTATTTTCAGTATCTGTGCCATATGTTATGTACATTCATGGAAATTATTTGTGGTTCTACTATGATGCTGTATCAGTTGGATATAGGTTTCATTTTGTCCAATATATCTTTCCTGTAATTTCTGGTGAGATCTTCGTCTTCCTTGACTATTTACCCTTCTGCAACTGTTAGATGCAGATATTTAATTACTAACTACTTGAATATCAACTTTTCCTGAAAAGAGAAATTTCCATGGCTAACTTTTTTGAGCACTGTATTTTAGGTGCTTCTGTTAAGGCTCTTGCTGCGGCCCCAGGCTCTTCTTATTTACCTGCAGAATCAGCTAACAGGATGCAATTTGGTAACACTCCCTTTGATAGCCAAGGTTTCACTGCAAAGACATCAAAGGACAGAAGCATGGAAGTGTTCCCTTCCATTCCGCCAGGCGATCATTCAGCTGGCAAAAGTGTAGCTGGGAAGACATTGGATCATATTGGTTCTAGTATGGTATCAAATGCAAATAAGGTACATTGATTTTTGCAAAAGCTGTGGTAGGTCAATTGTTTTGCCTATTGTCTTGTTCATATTTTGGCATGTGGCATGTGCTCATTATTCATTAACAACTCCTGCAATTCTACTCACTAAGTCTGTTAAAGTCTGTTTCTGACTTTCTGTTTATCTTGATATTTATATTTGAGTTCTCTTGATAGGGTTATTCTCCGAGCAGTCTTCCAGAACCAAACATACCTAGAGCGAGTGGTACTAGGGATACTGGGAAATCTCCTATTTCTCAGGCTTCTAGCCCAGGCCGTCTATTTAACGATCAGCAGTTAAAACAGCTCAGAGCCCAGTGTCTTGTGTTTTTGGCTTTTAGGTTATGGATATCGTACACGTTATATTTTGGCTCATATTTCGTACTAAGTTCTGTATTCTCTTTGGTATTAAAACATGTTCTTCATGTGCAGAAATGGTTTGATGCCGAAGAAACTTCATCTTGATATTGCTCTTGGAAATATTTATGCTAAAGAAGGTAAACTCCTGTGATTTGTGCGGATCCTTACTTACTCAAGTGGTAAATAACATTGTGTTCTGCAGATGGATCTCGCAGAGAGTTTATCGACCAGAGAGAGAAGGAGCAACTTATTAATGAACCAAGTAGTGGTCCACAAGCTCTGAGGGCCCTGGAAAGACCAGATGGTGGTAAGGGTCAGTCTTCTATTTTGAATTCCTATCCATCAAAAGAAGCCATACCCGCTAAATTGTCAGAGGAGAGAAGCAGTCTACCTGCCATTTCAGCTGAAAATGATCAGGACAGGAAAAGTTCAGTTGCAAGAGGGAAAACTGAACCTGGATTTCTTACTAACGAAGCCAAAGAATTACATGCATCTGCACAACTAGAACCATCTGAACAATCAAAGTTCGAGGAGAGTGGGGGGTCTGGAAATGGATTTCCTAGTGATATTATCAAGTTGCCATTATCAACCAGTTTTGGAATGAATGACGTGGGTTTATACAGAAAGGATGATGCCAAAAGTGGCACTCAAAATAATCTGGATATGAATTCTCACAGCAAGTTATATTCCGATAATAAGTTGCCGAGTATTCACGTGAAGGACCAATGGAAGCCAGTTGCAGGAATGAGTGGCCAAAATCACCCTGCCATTCCATTTAAAGATCCCAATATAATGCTGCAAAATGTTTCACAAGGTCATTCAGATGCGTAGATACTATATGTGTTTTCTTTTTTCTTTTTTTTTAGAATCAACATATCCTGCTTTCTTCTTTATTTGATGTACTTAATTATGTTTGTTATGTGCTCCAAAAGGTTCAAATCGTCTAGTTTTTGAATTTTGAAGGATGAAAATGATTTAGCTGATCGACTGAAAGATGATTATATGCTTGAAGTGCCAGGGGCAGATCAGGAAGAGGATTATATGTCAATATCAACTGAAAGGCAACCTTCTCCAAAACATACCACCATTGAAAGGTGGATCTTGGATCGCCAGAAGAGGAAAGTTCTTGTCGAGCAGAATTGGGCTCATAAACAGCAGAAGACAGAACAGAGAATTGCTTCTCGTTCTGAAAAGCTAAAGGTTTGGGTTTGTATTGCTCTTAGTATGTAACTTATTATGAGATAAGGAATAGCAGTAGTCGTACAAGTTTTACTGGTAAAAGGAATGTCTAACAAATCAAATGGGAACCAAGTGTACACTGAAATTTACCATATTGCAGGAAATTGTTAGCTCTTCAGAAGATATCTCTGCAAAAACCAAAAGCGTAATTGAACTGAAAAAGCTTCAGTTGTTGGAGTTGCAGCGACGACTTCGGAGGTAATTTATCTTTCTATGCGTCGATTGACAGTCCTCTTTGTGCTGTATGTTGACCTCTGCCATTTATTTTTCTGTCGTACTCTTTTCTTCCCCTGGTTTTTGTCTGGGGAATTCTGTCAGTTCTTATTAGTTCTGACTATTGTGTTCCATCTCACTGATTCAGGCATCATACTGGCTTGTTTATCTTTGTTTAACAACATATTATATTCTGCTGCAGTGACATCTTAAATGACTTCTGCAAACCAATAGCCACCGAAATGGATAGATTGAAATCAATTAAGAAGCACAGAATAGGTAGGAGATCGAAACAAATTGAAAGATATGAGCAGAGAATGAAGGAGGAGCGGCTGAAGAGGATTAGAGAAAAGCAGAAGGATTTCTTTAGTGAACTAGAAGTCCACAGGTATTTTTTTTCCCCCTATATCAATATCATGATTTGTAGATTGTTAGCACAGGCTATTTATCACCTTCTTTTACCTTTTTCTGGTTTGTAAATTTTTATATCTTTTCATCATGGTAATTCAGAGAAAGACTGGAAGATGGGTTTAAAATTAAGAGAGAGCGCTGGAAAGGATTTAATAGACATGTGAGGGAATTCCATAAGAGGAAGGAAAGATTTCATCGCGAGAAGATAGACAGGATCCAGCGTGAAAAGATTAATTTATTGAAAATTAATGATGTTGAAGGATATCTCCGCATGGTTCAGGTGCTGCATGGTCCATATTTATAAACATATTGGGAGCCCATTTCCAACCTCTAATGTTTGAGAATTGTTCATCACCTGTTCTGTAGGATGCAAAATCTGATCGGGTTAAACAACTACTGAAAGAGACTGAAAAGTATTTGCAAAAGCTTGGGTCCAAACTAAAGGATGCTAAGACCATGGCGAGACACTTTGAGAGTGACATGGACGAGAGTAAAGGGGCATTTACTGAGGAGAATGAAGATTCTGTTGAGAACGAAGATGAAAAAGATCAGGCCAAGGTTTTTTTTTGTAGATTCCATTACATATTATTTTGTTGTGGTTTACTTGGTCAGTATGTTAGATCAAGGTACTCTCTTAATCTTTTACGTTCGGTTTCTGCAGCACTATTTGGAAAGCAATGAGAAGTACTACATGATGGCACATAGGTAATCTGAAAAATCTCACCCTTATTAGGGATTATTTCATGCAATCTTTACTGAATTATAAGTGAACTGAAAACTGCTCATGAGCTTTATTTGACTTTTACTTCCCATATTTATTATGATCACCGAGGAGATTTACTACTTCATTGCATTTATTTACGTGACACTCTTCGATCACCTGACAATATGTTAATGCAAAAATATATTATAATTTATGTACTTATCAGATTGTTTTTCTTGTTTGCAGTGTAAAAGAAAACATTATTGGGCAGCCAACCTGCCTCGTGGGTGGAAAACTGAGAGAGTGAGGGATATTTACTCTTCAATGTTTTATTTTGGTTCGCCTGCAATATGATTTTACCATGTATCGTTTTATGGCGATCAGAGTCAAATTGTATTCCTTGCACAAAATTATCATGAATAAGGCATGTTCACACAATTATTTGATTCTCGAGTACTCCTCTATTCTTTCTTTAAGGTATCAAATGAATGGACTGAGATGGTTGGTTTCACTTTATAATAACCATTTGAATGGCATACTAGCAGATGAAATGGGCTTGGGGAAAACTGTTCAGGTATGATATATGTTAGGCCGATGAGAGCATGCTTCCATGGGACTTATGCTTTTTTTAATTATAATTTTGGATCTTCTAAAATTCTTTTTGTAGGTTATATCTCTAATTTGCTACCTAATGGAAAACAAAAATGATAGAGGACCTTTTCTAGTGGTCGTACCATCGTCTGTTCTACCTGGATGGCAGTCGGAGATCAATTTCTGGGCACCGAGCATCCACAAAATTGTTTATTCTGGTCCACCTGATGAACGTAGAAGATTATTCAAGTTAGTCTGGCCAAATCCTTCATTGTTTCTTCAGGATTTCCTAGTTTTTATTTAATTTGAGCTGTTCACTGTGATTTTATTATTGCAGGGAACACATTGTGCACCAGAAATTCAATGTTCTTTTGACGACATATGAATATTTGATGAACAAGCATGATCGACCGAAGTTAAGCAAAATCCAGTGGCATTATATCATTATTGATGAAGGGCATCGCATTAAGAATGCTTCCTGCAAGTTAAATGCTGAATTGAAACATTATCGTAGCAATCACAGATTACTTTTGACTGGAACCCCCCTGCAGGTAACATGTTTGCTAGTTTTTTTACCATTCTCATCAGTATGTCCCTTGGCCTGCTGGATATCTGTTTGTTAAACAGAAATAATTTGTCCTGAGGTTTTTCTGTATTCTCATGTATTTACTCTTTGGTGTTATGCTTTATAAATGTTCATACCCTTGCTTGCCGATGCAGAATAATCTCGAGGAACTTTGGGCACTGCTTAACTTTTTGTTGCCAAACATCTTTAACTCATCTGATGATTTTTCTCAATGGTTCAATAAACCATTTGAGAGCAATGGTGATAATTCACCAGACGAGGTAAGTTCTGGAATGTCTTATGCTGTCAGGGTAACCTTTATTTGGTTTCTCATTATTCGGTTTCTCATTATTCTTAGCATTTTAACTGCTTAATATCACTTTCGACCAGGCTTTGCTGTCCGAAGAGGAAAATCTTTTGATCATAAACCGTCTTCACCAAGTTCTCCGACCATTTGTACTTAGAAGATTAAAGCACAAGGTACCATCCACTTATTGTAATAAGTGAAAGTTACTCATCATCTGTACTTATAAATGGTAATTAACTTCTATAAGCACATTTCTGTGTCAACATGAATACTACAATCTGTATCCACATGCATATACCATGTAGCGACATGCCTTATTGGTAGAGATTTGTTCTGAAACTGAATTATCAATTGGGACTGGTCAATCTATTAGTAATCAAGAACCCAAGGGTTGTTAAATATAAAAGTACTGTCACAATTACGGCCAAATGGCCTTGCATGCTATACCAAGATATATGCTGGAGCATGTAACACATCTGGCATTCTCCACATGCTATTACATGGGGAAGAGATTATGATAGCTGTTAACTGGTGTACAACTGCATGTCTATAGAGGTGCAAACAAGACAAAAGGGACGCTGTGTTAGATTTTTTTTTTTGTATGTTATTTTTTGTGTCTAATGTCCGTGATAGAAACTTTGAAATGAGTACTTGTTTTTGCTGCTTATTTTATTTCTTTCTTATTGAGGTTTGGAAGATAGCTGTTGCATACTGTGTTATATATAGTTACTGGTTACATATATATCTAATGATTTTGAGATCTGTAAGCTAGTAGCATGTGCATGAGATAAAGAACGTTTAGTGCTTACTTAAAATGATAAAAATGCTCAGAGTTATTGGAAGGATCTTATCAATTTATTATGATACCGGACTTTTTGTTTATCCCGATGCTATTGAAAATTTCATTGATTTGGCAAGGTTGAGAATGAATTGCCTGAAAAGATCGAAAGACTTATTAGATGTGAAGCTTCTGCATATCAAAAGTTATTGATGAAGAGAGTGGAAGACAATCTTGGTGCAATTGGAACTTCGAAGGTTTTCTCATGCTTCAATCTTCACAAATTAATTTGTCATTTTTGTTCCATGGCATACCTATTGTCGGACAGTTTTGTTGTCTTTCCTAAACCTTACAATATTTTTCAGGCTCGTACTGTGCATAACTCAGTTATGGAACTGCGGAATATATGCAATCATCCATATCTAAGTCAGCTTCACGTGGAAGAGGTATTCTCTCCCTTGGTTAATTTGGGTTTTGTTGAATACTTGAATGATTGTGGAAATGAACTCGGTAAAATCGCAGATTAGTGGATTGAGTGTTGTAGATACCTTCTCTGTATCCTTTGTGCCTATCCTTGAGCGAAGGTTTGTGCAGAAAAAATATATAGGGGAAGCTAAGGATCTCATAAAAAAAGAATGCAATAATATTTTATAGCAAGTGAAAGTTGTAGAAAAATTTTGTTGGTTGATGTGGATCTACTATTTTAATTTTTCTTTCTTTCTGGATGCATGGTGCATAAGGGGGTAATTGACAATTGATTTGCTGAAATTTTCCACTGTCTTGCTTAGGTTCATGATTTGATTCCAAACCACTATCTTCCCAATATTGTGAGACTTTGTGGGAAGCTTGAGATGTTAGACCGGTTATTGCCCAAACTAAAGGCCACAGATCATCGGGTAGGTTTTAATATTACAGTCAACATTTCTTGATTGCACATAACTTTGTCAGTATTTTTACTGCGAAAACTTCTATTTCATCTTCCAATTAATAATTTTTTTCTGAAGACTGGATGTTTTTTTTAATCTGTCCTGTACATCTGCTGCGAAAATAGTGGTGTAAATTTTTGTGGGAAAAGAGCTAAGAATAGGTCTCGAGATTTGTGTGTCTCTCCATTTTGTAGAGACTGTCTTTCCTATTTTCCCAGATCATCAGACTATTTTTTGCTTTACAGGTTCTTCTTTTCTCAACAATGACTAGATTACTTGATGTGATGGAGGACTATCTTTGCTGGAAACAATATAAATATCTCCGATTAGATGGTCATACTTCAGGGGGCGATCGGGGAGCCCTCATTGAGCAGTTCAATAATCCACATTCTCCATACTTCATATTTTTGCTCAGGTAATTGTATAGTTACTACACATTTGAGCTTTGGTCCGGTAAGCCTGAAGGTATGTACTGAGGTGGTGCTAGGATCATCCTTTTTGTTCTGATGTCTAGTCAAATGTGATATATATAATAATGATGAATTTTATGCTGGGTGGTGGCTAAAATCTTGGGAGAATCTTCGTTTGAGTTGAAATTTAACTGAATTTAGGTTGTCTGAGCAATCCTCCAACTTAGGTAAGCATGTGACAATCACTATATAGCATATTTTGTTACCATATCGGTACAATCTGGACCAGAGCACCTAAAGGTTAAGGTAGGTACATTGTTTTCAGAGGTGCCATAATTAAAACGCAGGGTGGTTCTATTCTACAGAATGCTATAAAAGCTGAAAGTTAAGAATCTCTTGTTTAGATTACTGTATTTACCTTTTGTACTGACTTATAATAATTTATTGACCAGTATCCGAGCTGGGGGTGTTGGTGTGAATCTCCAGGCTGCTGACACCGTGATTATCTTTGATACAGATTGGAATCCCCAGGCAACATCTTAATACTTTCCTTCTGAGTTAATTGTTAATATTTTTAATTTTGATTGTAGGCTTAGTTTGAAATTTGTTCATTATTGTTCAGGTTGACCTGCAAGCACAAGCTAGGGCTCATAGGATTGGGCAAAAAAAGGATGTTCTAGTGCTTCGACTAGAAACTGTAATATCTTTATCCTGAAAACCGAGTGTACCTTTTTTGGTTCTTGTTAATGAAATCAAACAAATACCCAATTCATTTCCTATTTTCTTTCTGAGCATCTCATGTAAAAGATTTTTTATTTTATTTTTTAGTTTTTTCATGTTCATTTTATAACGAATATTCAGTCCATTTTGTTTTGTTGCATGAATTTGAAAGTTTGAACAGAAATCAAATGAGTAGCACTGTTGTTGAACACATTGTGGACTAATTTTGGTTTACATTTTAACTACTCTCAGTTCTTTTCTTCCGATATTATATTTGCAAAGTAGGAACCAGGTAGGTAACTTGTTAACGTTTGGAAAAGGCAGTATTTGGCAATATAGATGAACAGGTATCTGGAAGGGATGGTTATTGCTGTTTCTGTTCTGTACTCTTCCAGTACACTGTATTTTTTTCTTTAATTAAATTTTCATCATTCAGTGAAGCCTAACTACTAAAAATGATGTTCATGTGCCTTCGGCAACTATTTGTCAACCATTGCTCGAGTATTTTGAAGAGAATTAAAGCGGATTGCATTTGGCTTACTTTTACTCATAAATGACAGTTCTCTGTTTTTGGGTTCCATTTGCTAGTTCCTTGTTAGGAGTTGGGAGTATGAGGCATAAATACAGCGGTGGCACATGTATAAAATAATATCAGTTTATAAGTATATCCCAACAACTGAGAATTGCCTTGATTTGATGAGAACTTATTTTTTATGGATATA